ATTCACATCTTTGATCCATTTTGAGTTAATTTTGGCATATGAGGTGGTATGGGTCCAATTCTATTCTTTTGTATGTCGCTCTCCAGTCATCCCAACAACATTTCTTGAACTCTTTCCCCATCACAAGGTCTTGGCACCACTGTCAAAGGTACCAGTTGACCACAGACATCTGGGAAGACCCATTTCTGAATCCTGATTCTGTTGTACCAACACATTAGCTTATCCTTCCCAACTGACAATGTAATAAACATGCTCCGTTTGTCCTCCCAGCTGCTAACAGAAGTGAGTGGAACAGGGTCCAAGGCCGAGTCCTCAACAATTCAGTGTCCTCCTTTTTTGGTTTACATTCAAACATCACTCAGTACTCCTGGGAGCAACTTGTCAACCAGCGATAAACTTATTTAAATCTGCTATCATCTGGTCAACATTTCCCCATTCTGTCCACAAGTGCCGCATTAGCTACTGCGTAAAATACGCTACTGAAATCAAGATAATGTCATCCAAATAGAAAACCAACCCTGCAGAGGTTCAGACAAAGACAATGGTCACACTCTGGTAATTTTCATAAGGAACCAATTGATCTCTCATTTTTGGAATTAATCTTTTCTTTTATACTTTTTTGATCATTTCTGTCAGTGATAAATATATATATATACATACAATTTTATTTATCACCATGTGTTAACACTTAAATTTCTAGTTTATCACCTTGTCTCTGTGTATTGGTATACAGGCATCTGAGACCTTTAAGTAGTATTCCCAAGTCTGTAACAGTAATTTTAATTCTAATCTTAATTCCTTCTATACAGTCCAAGTTTTTGTTTTTGCCTCAGTTTTTTCCATTGAAATACTGAAAATATTTTGCACTTATCACCTACGAGCTGATGAATTCAATTGTGAAAAGTACACGTTTTAATGGTGACACTCCAACAGAAAATATTAGCATTTTATTCAAAATACAGATGATAAGTTTAAACTTTATCTGATCAGACAGTTTATGACAAGAAAAACATGGTTGCACTTAGAGCCTAGAGGAAAATAAAACACTGCAGCAAATATATACCATCACTGAAATCTATTACTTGCTTTTCATATTCAGTATTAAACATTACTAGAAGCAGTCAGAAAGCCAGTGGCCCTTGGAAAGATGAATTATTTCAATTCTTTTGTCCTTTAGTCTCACCTGAAAAGCGCATATACCAGGGTAGCAATCAAAGCGAAACTGACCACAACCGCCACAAGTACTTGGTCACTTACTCCTTCTATGACTGAATCATCGTCCAGTTTCAGACTCTGAACTTCACCTTGATATTTGGCCATTCCAGGTCTAAAGGCAAAAGAAATAAAATGAAAATTACAAATGACACAGAGAGAATCAAAATATACTAATAAAAACAATTTAAGTACAGCTGACTTTGAATAGAGTTACTTTTTGGCAGCGCCCACTTAAGGTAGGTTGCATTAAGTACAACTCCAGTGGGGAATGCCCCATGAATGAGTTCTTTAAAATCTGCCAGATGTAATTTTGAAGGGTAGAGAATTCTACTGCCTTTAAGGAAAATAATTACTATAATTTAGCATCTATTTACATTTTTAAAGAGATTTTTAAAAATAGCCTTTTCTCTTCGAGCTTAAGTCCTTTAATTTTAAGAAAAAAAAAAAAGACATTCCTCATGCTCAACTGTACTTTTCTTATCCCTGAATAGCAAATAAATTCTCCAAGTAGATCACGTTCCCCCTTCTCCCTCATAGAACTGAACATGTGGCATAGAATTTAGCATGTGTAGGTAGGGAAGGAAACATATTGCCTTCTCCTGCAAATATTCTTAAATTACCTAGTATGTGCTCTGTGCACAGTAGGACCTAATATATATGCTTAAATAAGAGTGGCTTACCTTACTTCTAGTGTTAGTAATTTGAAAAGTAAAAGACACGGAAGCTAGAGAACATTTATAACTATAGGAAGACTACTTGAATTAATGAAAATTCTGGTGCTTGAAAAACTATTCGCCTCACCTGGGACTAACCTCAGCTTATGGTTCAGAATTCTTTGAACCGCCTCGAATATGGAATCACTCTGAGGCTGCATTTCCTTATGAAGAGAAAAGGAAGGGTGTGAAATTCTCCCACACCTTAAACTAGAGAAAAATGGTAATACTCAACTTCTATAGGTTTGAGGGGAGACAGTCCAACCACATCAGAGTCCAAATGTCACAGGCAATTCCTAATTTTTTCAGATGGCAAATGCTAAGTTGAAAAGCTTATAAGACACACCTAAAGGGAAATAAAGAAAATAAATATTCAATGAAGTTATATGACTATTCATACTTAAAATCCTGTATTTATGTAACGACTGCACTGAAAAACAGTTTTATTCAATATCACCATTAATCAGGTGAGCCGCTGTTAAAAGGAAACTTGGTGTGTGGAAGTCTAAAGCTTTTGAAAAGAATCTCCGCTGGCCGCTAGGAAGAAAATTACCTCTCGTGGAAGAAACTTAAGCAAACAAACAGATCAAAGGCAGCTTTCACCAGCTTTACACACAGTAATGGCCTGATGCACCAGGAACTTTCTGATGACAGGTTTCAAGTACCCTTTATGAAAGCATACACCAGGAAACTCAGAGGGCCCAAATGTCAGTAATGTATTCAGAAGAACAGCCAAATCAACTGTCAACTAAACTTGAAGAAAAGAGCCTCAGATAATCTCAGGGTGGGCCATGTGGCCAATTTAGATTTTTATCTTGTAGGGTTTCCTCTGTTTATGTTAGGTTGTGTCAAATGTCCTAAGGGCAGTGGGAACTACTTGCATCACTCAGAGGTAACCAAAATGTTATCCCGCAGCCAGATTCCCGGGCTCTGATTACTCAATCCATCTACTTCATAGAGCTGGGAGGATCTTCTCCTGTGTTGTATATTTAGGGAGTTCACCACTTCATACTTAAAAAAAAAAAAAGGAATGGGTTCTGTTTCTATGTCCTTCCAGGTGTAATCAATGATAATGTGACCAAATTCTACTGCATCAGTTACATAGAGATTCTTATATAACTGGATCACTTTGCTGTACACCTGAAACTAACACAACATTGTAAATCAACCATAGTGCAATAAAAAATAAAGTAATAAAAATAAAAATTTTAAAAATATATATTCTACTGTATGATTACATGAGTTCTACCAATTTCACCCTTAAGATACCGCTTCATACACATTTTTAAGAACTCAGAGGTCCACGACACTCCGATTATTGTGGGACCATGTAATGTTATTTGCCTCATTTTAGAGTGAAAGTTCCCAGTGTTGTTGAAATGCAGGGTTACTTCTTATTTCCATGAATTGTAGTATCATTAAAGAAGGCGCTGCGGCTGAGGGAGGGTAGGAAGGGAGGAGATGGCTGGTAAGTGGGAGGGACGGAGGGTCTGCTGCTCTTTCCTGCCACGTGGAAACCCCAGCTCTCAAGGGAGGGCTGCTAATGGTGTCTGGCCGACTTGCTGGGGACTTCCACAGTTAACTTCCGCCAGTGGTTCTCCCTATCATCAGAGCCAAAATAAAGGAACTGTTTTTGAGCCAGTGGCTCAAAAATCAGGTATTATAACGCCACCTCGGTTTGGAAAGAGGCTAGTCTAAGATCATAGAGGATAAACAATGAAAAGAAATTTAAAAATTTCTGCTTGAGCAGATGGTATTATACCTCAATCTTGAAAATGAATTTCAGCATCAAGCTGAACTTTGGTCCCCTGACTTTCACTGGTCGGGGACAGAACAGGGCTGCTGATTTTGATCGACAACACACGCTCTCAACTCAAGCCTGACCACAACAGCATGCCCCGAAGACCCTGGAGTTCAGTCACAGTTCTGCTCCTGCAGCTAGGACCCCACTTCAGCTCTTGGGGACCCCTTGCTTTCCGTAAAATGTAAAAGCTGGATTGGAGAATGTCTTAAGTTCCTTCTACCACCACATTTTGCTGATTCAGAGATTTCTGGAATCAGAGAAAAAAAAAAGCAGGAAAGACAAATACCAAAGGTTAAATTGGTTACAAGTGGGGAACATGGCTGGGAGAGGCAGATTTTCTCCTTTTCCAGGAAACAGTTTTATAGTCCAAATTTTTTTCAAGCATGTATTACTTTAACAATAAAAACAGAAGTCAGTGCCTGCTCCCTCCCTGGAGAGATGAAAATTAGGCTTCAGTTCTCCAAGATTTAAAATGTCTGTCTCCAGTCCCGGTCTTACCTAAGAACCCTAGACTCTCCCAGTTCCCCGATGGTGCCCTCTGAAGATCTCGTGATGGGCACTGGGAGGTGGCCACACTGGCTACCTCTCAG